ATTTATGGTCGTGACTGTGGAGGTGATCTGCAGGTGCTGATCCTATCGGAAATTTGGGATCTTAATTCCATCCTTTAAGGGAACAATACATCACCCCCATAAATCACATCTAGAGGCTTCAGCTAAAGACGGGTAAGTTGGGTCAGGGAAATTTGTACTTTGCATGTATTCTTGTGCATGTGATGGTTCTTTATGATTTAATAAATAAATGCCACCAACCTGATTGCGGGATTAAAAAAAAAAAAAAAAAATAGATGCTACTTACTATATTTAACATATATATATATATTTATATCATGGCTAAGTATCCTAATGATTTGATTCAATTTGATTTTTGATTATCAAGTTTATATTAAATTTATTATATGGGTTATAATCCACTCATTTTTAATAGTGTTTTGAACCTTATGCAAGTCTATATGAATCTGTTTGATTCCAATTTTTGGGACCATAATCATGACTAGCATATATTTTGTTTTATTAGATTTGTTAGTGAAATGATACAAATTTACTATCTCTATCTTTTCTAATAGAATTATCTAAAATGAGGATTTTTTTCTTATCTATCAGTTAACTTATTGCTTTCTATTTTTCTATATAGGAACTGTTGTTAAATCCGGAGTCAATAAAATTGACGGGAATGACATGTGTGTAATATGCAAAAATCACTAAATACAGGGGTCTTGTGTAATGTTAGAATTTAAAATTCTATATAATAAATATGCTATTTCTTTTTTTTAACCCTAGTTTTGTGAATATATTGTTAGTAGAACGCGCGTAACAACTGGAAAGACAATTTGAAGCATTGGATATTTTTCTTGTCTGCTTATTGCTTTACATTAAGATTTTATTAATGTTGTTAAATAAAATGTTAATCCAATTTCATTTCAAGCTGTCATTTACAAACATACTCAAATTTTTTATTTCCTTAACCTTCAAATCAAGCAAAGACACGTATGATGATATCAACTGATAACGGATATGAAAAGGACAAAACGTATCATAAAATATTAACTAGCCATTGTTTTAACATCAATCATCTGAGTACATTGGAATTCGATGGTTGCAGTTTTTCATTATGATACTTAAATTGAATGTTAGTGACTGATGGTTGTGGTTTGAATTGAAAATTGGCGATCGACGGTTGAGGTTTTCCATCATGATACTTAGGTTGAACATTGACAATTGACGGTTGTGATTTTCCATCAGGATATTTAAATTCAGCATTAATAATTGAAGGTTGTTGTTTTCCATCAGGATACTTAGGTAGAGCGTTAATAATCGATGACTGCGCTTTTCCATCATGACACTTGAATTGCACATTGATAGTCGGTAGTTGCGGTTTTCTATCGGGTTGAACACTGGTGGTTGTCGGTTGCGGTTTTCCATTAGGATACTTGAGTTGATAATCTCTTTCTCGTTTGAAAAGCAGGATGTGAGGTTCAGGCTCTATAAAATAGAAGAAAAGCAGTAGCAATAGCAAATGGTCATAACACTAATTGTTTTTAATCAGATTTTCACCTTTCTCCACAAAAAAAATCGATGCATCAATATACAAAGTCCTGGGTCTTACCATTCATACACTTACCATGAATCATGTAGTGCTCCCATCCTTGTGACTGCTTCAATCCAAGGCTTCTCCATTCTTCTTCGCTCATGAGATAGTGTGGCGGAATATACTGGACGAGTTGTTTCGGCAATGTAACGTGCCTTATAAGATTAATCAAGATAAAATATAAGATCAGGTATAAACAAAATCATAAAATAATAATGAAAACACGTAAACATTAACGTTCTCCTACCTATATTCAGAATGCTCATCTTATAAATAAAGAATGATTAGAAAGTATTAATAATAAGCTAGTCATGTCAATGAATATTTTTCTACAAACCATAATAACGTTGTGAGTAGATAATGCCTTCTTCGAACATTTCAATGTCTTTTTGTCTCTGTTGTTCCCATGTCAAGGGTTGTGTTTCTTCAAGTTGATTTCTACAAAATTTTATGAATAAATACCATCAATACAGTTCATTAAGGTTTAACCGAAAAGCTGATCGACACAAGCATATACACCAAACTTATTTTCTTTATCTTCTTCAGCTGCTGACCAATCTTTTTGTTGACGATTTTCTACTTGCATGGTTTCGAGTTGAGTGCGGAAAGAATTTTCGTGACTTATTTATTTATGTTATTTATCTGTTATTGATACGTATTACGTAAATATCACGTGATAAGGTAAGCGTCACGATAAATAAAATATTATTATCACTAATAAAAAAATGCTTTTTACTATGCAAAAATAATCTATATGCTAGGATATAAATGTTATTAAAAAAGATTTGTTTTTTATTATTAACAGAAGAATATAAGCATTAATATTAAACTTAATAAATTATTTATGTATTTAAATATATTTTTTGTATAAAATTCTTTTATTAAAGATTTTTAAATATAAACAAAAAAAAATTTTTTTTATAATAGAATAAATATTATAAATAAATATTTGGATAAGTTCAATAGTTTATTTTTAATAAATAGTTTTTATTAAAATATTATTTTATAAGTTTTATTAATAACTTTTAAATAGAACTTTATTTTAAAAGTTAAGATTATTAGAATCAAATTTATTTTGAAACTATAGTTTTAATAATATTTTTTAAAAGATTTTAAATTCTAAAAAAGTTTTTAATTTATTTTCAATAAGAAATTTTGATAAAATTATTATAAACTTTATTTAATTAGTAACTTATAATAAAAAAATTATTTTTATAATCAATAATTTTTTAAAATTAATTAAACTAATTAATATTCCTATTATATGGGTAATTATTTTTAAAGGCAACGAAAATGCTAGATATGATTTTTTTAGATCCAACTTTATATAATATAAATTTTAGGATCACCAGAAAATTTTCGGTCTGCCTTCAAAAATAATTATCCATATATTAAATATTATTTATAATATTAAATTATAACTAAATCTAATTTATTTTGTTTATTTTTAATTCAACAATATAATATATAATATATTTTTTAAATAAATTAGATTTTTGAGAAAAACTTTTTTTTTTAAACTACTAGTATATATCTTTTATTTTTTTATTTTTTTAAAGTGGAATATATACAAGGCATGTAATTTTTATTAATATATTTATATATTCAAATAGATATCAAGTGTCTCTACAAATTAACTAAAAATCAGTTAGTACACAAATGCTCATTATATCTTTATAGCTAATCTGTATATTAATACTAGTGTATGCCTTATTTTATTAGGTATAATAAGTTTAATATATATAAATTTATTTTATACAAATTTTTCACTATATTGATCTGATAAAATTACTTAAACTAAGATTATTTCTAATTACTGATTAACTTATTGTCTTTATATTTCTATATTATCAATATCAGGGTCCTAATAGCATAAGTAAAGTACTAATATGTCAGGATATATGCCTCTCAGTTCAATTTACTATTCAATAAATAAAAACTCAAAGAATCATATCTTAATATGATTAATTATAAATCAATTATATTTACTAAAAAAATTTATTAGCTCTAATTAGACCTAAAAAAAATTATTTCAAAAAGAAAACTTACAGAAAAAGAAAAAATAATTTTTTTGAAATAAGCAAGAATAATTAAAAAAAAGTTGAAAATGTAAACAAGAAATCTTATTTAAAAGAAAAGGAAAAATTACAAACTATCTATCTAAAAGAAAACAGAAACCAACTTCTTATAGAAATTTAGAATATGAGCATTATGGAAAAAAAAAATCTTATAAATTAAAAAAACACATATATATTGTAATTATATTTCATATATACTGTATATATAATTGCTCATACTTTTTATACCTTCTTACAGATCTTTGTTTTGTTTAAAAAATTGCTAACTAAAATTAGATATTTGCTTTTTAATTTGAGTGGAATGTCACTATTGCTATTTATTATAGTTAAGTAAAATTCAGTCACAAAATATTTAGTTTTCAATATAAAGAATTGAATATTATGCCACAGGTAAAAATTGTAAAGAAAAAATAAAGAATATTAAGGTAATTTGTTTTCTATTGTTATTATTATTATTATTTTTTTTAATTTCGCAATCAGGTTGGTGTCGTTTATTTATTTAATCATAAAGAACCATTACAAGTTGAGAACCTATATAAAGTATAAAT